GAGGTACCGGTTGCTTGGGAAGGCCAGCGGCCTGGAAGTCACCGCCCAAGAGGCAAAGCAGGCCGCTATATCTTCCGGCCGGGCGGAAGACCCGGCCTCTTTTTCGGTGTGCAAGTTTGGCGACACACGGGTGGAGCGCTGGAGGGAGCAGCGCTGGGTTGGAGCTGCGCTGCTGGGGAGGAAGAAGAAGGACTAGAGGGAGGAAGAAGGAGGAAGGAAGGAGGAAGGGGGAGGAGCGCCAGGGGTACTTACCTGGCTATGGTGGCAGCCATCGTCATCACCTTGGTGGGCACTGCAGCAAGGAGTCCCCAGCCGGGGAAAGCCACACCAAGAAGCTTCAGGGCAGGGTTGGACATGGCGGCCTGAGTCCAAGCAGCCATAGCTGCTTTGTGTTGTCCTTTGGGCATCGGAGCAAGGCCTAGTAGTCCGCCATAGCCTCGGCCTATGTGTACGAAGAGTGGGAGAGGCGGCCATGGCTATGGTGGACCTTGAGTGATACCTGCAGCAGAAAAGGGACTCGGACATGATTCTGGACCAGTCATTCAACATTGTACTATTATTTCTTGTATGAAAAAGAGAAGGGGGAGATAAGGAGGAGGAGATTGTTGGGCGAAGAAGAAGAGCCTTGTCATCATCTTTGCTGGTGTACTTCTTCTTCTTCTTCTTTCTCATTTCTTCTTCTTCTTCTTCTACTCCTCTCTTTCCTCTCAAGTTCATTCATTTCTTTCTGCAATTGGATGGCATTGTACTTCTCAGTGGATGTGTATTTCGAAATTGGCCAGGGTCATAACACACCAGCAAGATTTGAACTCGGCACTCATCGATTAAACACATTCCGTTGTGTGGGGGTGTCCCCAAGCCCGCTAAGCTAACTGCAATTGAGCCAACAGAAAAAGTGAGCATCACAGCTCAACAACCGAAGCCAAATTGACGCTCCTCCTCCTTCCCTCCCTCCCTCCCTCCGTCTTGCGTGCCCATTCACACATCTACCCACCCACGGTCACATTCATGGACCTCTGTATTCGCTCACCACTGACAGCGTTCGCACATGAGTAGTACTCTACTGGATGTATTATTCGACTCGCACTCTCCCTCACACACGCTCAGCAGCTCACTGGCCTGCCACCAACCCACTCACTCACCCACCTGTGCACCCACACATCCATCCACTTGCTCAGAATGCCACCTGTTCGTTCAGCTGAATGGCATTTCTTTTCTTCTCCGTTTCCGTTTCCATCCTACCTTTGACACCGTTGTTTTCAACAGGGTTTGAACTCTTGACTTGCGCAAGTGGATGTTTTCAAGGCGCTTACCAAGAATGAAGTGGGGGAGCAGGGTGCTCGATTCGTCAGATTTTTGGCCTTCATTCTTGGTTAGCGCCTCGGCATTTTTTCCCCCGTTTCCAGCCAGTGGATTCTGGGTTTTCAACAGGGTATGAACTCTTCACTTGCGCAAGTCAAGAGTTCAAACCCTGTTGAAAACAACAGTGTCAAAGGTAGGATGGAAACGGACACGGAGAAAAAAATGCCAAGGCGCTTACCAAGAATAAAGGCGAAAAATCCAACCAACAGAGCAGGAAGACGAGACCGCAAGCGAGCAATGCGACCGCAAAACCATGAAGGCAAGTCTAAGGTGACATGTGACATCACCTTCCACTATTTCGCGAAAACTACTGAACACTCAGTCTGGCCAAGTCCTCCTCCGTCTTCCTCCAAATGGAATGTACGTCGTACAGTCGTCATAGCTGTATTTGGGCAACTTTCAGTCTAGATGCAGCAATATAACCTTGTGTTCAGTCTGAGACTAGCTGTCCGTTTGCCGCAGCTATGCCCCCTGTTCGCCTTCCTTGGCCGAGAAAGCCTCGAGAGGATGAGAGAGAGTGGGGATTATGGACTCACAGGGGGAGAGAGCCACATCGTCGACAGACAGGAGGGGGGGGTGCCAGGAAATGACTGATGGGACCATTCAACTTAGTAGTGCATGAATTTGTGATGGAAAAAAAAAAAAAAAAAAGAACAAGACAGGACATGGGCGATCAAGGGTGGTCGTCATTCTCAACTTTGAGAGAATGAAGAGAGAATGGGGGTCACACATGAAAAGCACATGGGTGAATAGTATATACGCATCGCCGAGAGAGAGAGAGAGAGAGAGAGAGAGAGAGAGAGAGAGAGAGAGAGAGAGAGAGAGAGAGAGAGGGGGAGAGGGAGGGAGAGAGGGGGGGGGGGGGGGGGGGGGGGGGGGAGGGAGGGGGAGAATATGGGTGAGAGGGGGGAGTGGCAGATGAAGTGAGAGGCTCGGCGTGGATGGTGCTATGTTTCATGCTTAGAGATCGTGAACCGGATTGTAAAAGAAAGCGACCAGGTTCATGGTAAGCTTAGACGAAACATAGAGTGGGTACGTCCGGACCTTGATTGGCGCTTGCCCAAGGAAAAGGGAGCAGACAGGCACTCCTCCAGCATTGAAGGGGCAAACCTCTCAGGGGTTGTTTCTATATAAATGGGTACTATTACTTTAGTTGTAATCGTTTGAAACAAAAAAAAAAAGGGAAAAAGTACACAACACCTGCGCATGTTGCAGTCCCTTGCGATAGATCATCTCCCAGCAACTGCACTTCCTCCAGCTTTGAAGACGCGCAGAGTTCGACTCCCTTCTTGAAGCTAGCGTCAGTTGCAGCCAAACCCCTCACGCCATCTTTCGTTGTCACACCCCTGTAATCAATATTGGGACCCTCTAAAGCCTCCATTTCGTCACCGAGGGACTCAGCAACGACAGTGCGGGGCTGCTGCCAGAACCAGACTGTCGAACAACCGTGTCGATGCACTGAGTGGCAAGCTTGCTATTTGCAGAAGCCAGCCTGCCTATTGGCAGAGAGCCACTTGGAGTAAATCCCCCAACTCGAATTTACTCACAGTGGCAACCTTGCAGCAACGACTAAGTCCCAAATGACTTCCTTCACTGTGGCACAGTTAGTGCCTACATAGCAGACACAAAGTACGCTGTACTTAATGCATACACGTAGTGCATACACAGCAACCGTGGCACAACTCGTCCCTACACCCTACATAGCAGACACATGACATGCATTGTACTTAGTGCATACACACCATTATGACAAAGCTACCGGTAGTGACTGCATAGCAGACACGTAATACGTTGTACTTAGTGCATACTTTAGTGCATACGCAGCACTGTGGCACAGCCAGGGCCTACATCGCTGACACAGAGTACGTTGTACTTAGTGCACGGTACTGCATACACCTCGTGCATACACACCAGCAAAAGACACAGTACATAGTGCATAGCACGTATAGACTCTATAATGCATAGTACGTATAGACTCTATAGTGCATAGTATGTATAGACTCTATAGTGCATAGTACGTATAGACTCTATAGTGCATAGTACGTATAGACTCTATAGAGCAATGATCATGAAGAGGCATAACAGTTGTACGGCGTTCTTAGTGCAAACACGGCAACAAGTTCCATGGTACATAGTACATATAAAGTGATGATCATAAAGTACATAGTACACATAGAGAGCAATGTAGAGCAATGATCACGAGGTGTACATATAGAGCAATGTGGGGCAATGTAGAGCAATGATCACACGAGTACATATAAAGCAACGATCATAAAGTACATAGTATATATAGCGCAATGATCACGAAGACGAATACAGTGAATCGCCCAGCTCGTAGTTGCAAACGTTGCAAAGACTAAATCTCAAATGACTCCTTCACTGTGGCTATGTAGGCACAGCTCGTGCCTACATAGCTGACACATAGTACGTCGTACTGAGTGCATACACAGCAATGAGACGCATAGTGCATTGTACGTAGCCCACATCAAACCTAGTCAAAGTGGCAACCTTGCAGCAAAGACTAAGTCCCAAAGGACTTCCTTCACTGTGGCACAGCTAGTGCCTACATCATGGATGCATGGCACACATACTTTAGTGCGCATAGCACGTACTACGTGCGCACACAGCAATGATCACAATGACACACAGTACGTACTACGTGCGTACACAGCAACGATAACGAAGACACGTAGCAGGTGCTCGGTGTAGCCGGGAACTTAGTGCATATTAGGCTGCAATGATCATCAACGACAACAACGATCAGAAAAGACAAAGAATTCTTCGGTCAAAGAAATTAACTTTTTGGCCAATGAAAAAGAACATGTACTTGAGTGCGAACACAGCAACAATAAAGATAACAACGACACTTAGCAAGTGCTTAGTGTAGCAGGTACTTAGCGCATAGGCAGCAACAATCATCAAGGACACCAACAACAATCAGAAAAGAGTCCACCGACAAAGAACTCTTCAGTCAAAAAGAGAAGCTTTTTGGTCAAAGGAAGAACTCTTTTGGTCAAAGGTCAAAGAAAGAACTCTTTGGTCAAAGAAAGGACTCTTTTTATCTTTCTTTCTTTCTTTCTTTCTTTGAGTGTTAATTTCATGAGAGACAATGGCATAAAGCTATGTACATGCAGCTGGAAACCAGCAGCAGCCACCTAAAAAGATGTGATCGCAACGAACACAATTTTGAAACTTTCGAGTACGTCTACGGAGAAAAAAAAGACCGTTGAAGGCGGACAACATTGTCGTCGCTTATGATGAAAACTTCACTCAGTTAGCACTCCTCGTCCTAGGACAGTTTCTAGAACGCTCTGGGCGTGGTTGCGGTCAGATTCGTGCAGGCCTGACCGTAATTGCAGTCAGATGCAGTTCGAGAAGTGCGAGTATGCTCTCAGTTGGCGCTCCTTGTCGCCACTTGTCCACTGATTGGCCCCCTGGCAATTCACATCTGTGTTAGAGCCATCTTGGGGTCTTTATTTTACCCTCTTTTCGGGGTCTTTTTTGGCCCTCTTTTCCGCAAATACCCCTACCCCTCTAGCCTCCAATCCTTTTCCTTACCCCCTTTCCAATTATTCCGAATTCATTTCCTGTCCGCATAAAATGAACACCCTACCATCGCCTTTCATGCTGAAATTTCTAAGACCGGTAGAAACTTGAAATAAGTAAGTCTGATAAACAGCTCACCTCTCTCTCTCTCTCTCTCTCTCTCTCTCTCTCTCTCTCTCTCTCTCTCTCTCTCTCTC